GGGTTCGCTTCCTCAGCACCACATAAGCAAAAAGAAAAAAGCCGGAAGTGCCGCTGTGGCTCAAGTGGTAGAGTGCTAGCCTTGAGCTGAAGAGCTGAGGGACAGTGCTCAGGCCCAGAGTTCAGGCCCCATGACCGGAACACCCCCCCCCAAAAAATTTACTTAACTTTGGAACTTGAGGATTTTTTTTTCATCTCCTTAAGGAAATGATTTAAGTTTGCATCATTTATAATGTGCTCCTAACACCAACCTTGTAGTTAAAGCTGCAGATGTCAGAAACAGTAAGTTGTTTCCTGTGCCGGTAGAGTTCACCTGGTCTTCAGTGACCACTTCTTTAGCTGCACATTCTCTGGTAGTCAAGGTTTTTCACCTTTCCTGAAGCCAGTGGAGGCTGCCAGATGGTAAGAATGCCATGATATCCCTTAGGCACTAAAAGTTAGAACCCCATGTTGTGTGATATACTTCACAATGGCTTCAAGATAATAATTTTGATGGACAGCAATAGGAAAAGCAAAGGGCTTCCTTTATTTTTCCCATTAGCTGCTCCCTCTGGAATCAAATAATTGGGTCCTTAATACAGATGAGCATTTCCTAACCTAACGCCACACTCATTCACTGTTATTACCACAGGGAATAGACTCTAAGATCCCTGGCAGGTACCTGAAATTACAGATAACAGCAAGTCCTATGTATTATGTGGGTAGCTGAGATGGCTACAAGGTAACTAACTGGTAGGTTGCCTCTAGAACCTGGATATGCTAGACAAAGGGATGACTTAATTCCAGGGAAGGATGAAGAGGCAGGGCATGATGTTTCAGCATGCAACAGTGAGCATATCAAACATATGGGCTGTTTCTTTCTGGACTTCTTCATTTAGTGTTTGTAGACTGTGAATGACTGCAGGTAATAGAAACTACAGAAAGCACAATGGTAAATGATAAGTATTGTACTGACATTGGGCGGTTGAATAATTCTTTTTGTGTAGAGGCTATTCTATTTTAGTGTGTTTAGTCTCTGCCCAGTAAATATGATTAGCACCCCCTCCAAATAGTGACAATTAAAAATTCTCCAAACCATACTACTTGTTGCCTGTGAGACAAATGGGTCCCACTTGAGGAATGCAGATTGAGAGGACTTTGTTGAACTGACTATGACCACCAGAAAGTGATACTGATAGCTAATCTATTCATTTCCTCCTCTTCACAAAAGTGCAGGTGTATATCGAATAGCTTATCCTTTGGGTGAGACAGTCCGCCAGAGCCTGTGCATGAATCTTATTATCTAAATAGATATAAACTCACTAAATAAATGGATATAAACTTACTAACTAAATAGATTTAAACTCACTAAATAGGTTTTCCTGATCCCTGTCACCTGATTAGCTCAGATTATGGCATAGACCATCCTGCTTAGCACTTTTAGCTTTTTTTTTTTTTTTTTCAAGCCGGGGGACTTGAACTCTGGGCCTGGGCGCTGTCCCTCAGCTCTTCAGCTCAAGGCGAGCGCTCTACCACTTGAGCTACAGCACCACTTCCAGTTTTCTAGTGGTTTATTGGAGATAGGAGTCTCACGGTCTCTCCTGCCCGGGCTGGCTTTGAACCGCGATCCTCAGATCTCAGCCTCCTGAGTAGCTAGGATTACAGGTGTGAGCCACCAGCGCCTGGCCTTTTTTTTTTTTTTTTAAATCTCATCGGCAACCACAGTTTTCCAGCCTACACATTCACCCTTGCTTCTTGGCTGGCCAAACATCAAATTTTCAAAAATGTTCTGTTCTCTTCCACTTTCCTCCCCATTCTCCCTATCAATTTGAATAAAAGCAGCTAGTAATTCTCAAGCCACTGCCTGAGTGGTACTTCCTTGAAATTCCTTCTAATCTTGTCAGTCACTTGAGCTTAGCCTCCTGAAAAGACTTATAAAGATAATGCATGTATATGCCTCATGTAGCCTTTGCCTTCAGTCCAGCTTTCACTAAAGTCCTCATTTCCATGTAAACCTAGCCAATACGGCTCTTTCCATCTGCATCCAGGTCCTCTGAGGCCTTATTAAATTCTACTTAGAACAGCCTAGGCTTTTCTAGCTTGCTTCTCCAGACTGTTCCAGAGTCCTGCAAACCAATTTCAAAGGCGCTTTTATATCACCAGACATAGTCACAGCAATTACTTTCTTTCTTTTCATCAATTTCCTGGAGTGGCTATCTGCAGCTGTGATGTGTACTTGAGAGAGCTAACTTTAAATGAGCAAAGACTTACTTTGGCTTGATGTCCATGGTTGGTGGGCGTGTTGCATTTGTTCCTGTGGTGAGACATCACATCATAGCATGCAGAATGTGTCAGAGTAAAACCATTTGCTTCATGGCTAGGATGTGAAAAAGAAAAGGAAAGGAAGGGGCCAAGGTCTTACCATTCCCTACAAAGGCATAAAATCAAGTCTATTTACCTCCCAACAGTGCCATGCTGAGACTAAACTTTATGCACCTGGGGCATTGGGAGACATTTGAGATCCAAAGTCTAGCTGCCGCTGTGAGGGAATTTTCTAGCCCCAGGACACCACTGAGCAAACAGAAACACAATTCTTTATGGCTGTGCAGCAGAGTAGAGAATGGCGACCACATCATTCTACTGTGCTAAAATATGTTCACCCCGTTGCTCAAATGAACTCAATGTCTACTTGAAATTTAATCATTGTACTTGAAACTCTGGAATTGTGGCTCGCACATAAGAATGATGGTAGCAATAACACATATGCCAGAGTCCTAGGTCAAGGGATATTAGAGGAAAGGGGCTCTCAGATGTCATTAGAGAATAGTTGAGAGGCTGTTCAGCCTTCATTTTGTCACTTAGCAAATACATGTTGAAGGTTTGCTCTGTGCTAGAGCCTTTGTATACCAGCAAAGCCAACAAGTCCACTGCCCTGTGGAACCTGTACACTAATGAGGTAAAGAACCAATAGACAAATAAATACAGAAAGTAGTCACATGGTGAGCTCAGGGTTGGGGAGAAAGTAAAATAATGAATGGAGAATAATTGGAGAGGGGATGTGGCTTTATGACATAGGGTAAATCTTTGTTCTTGACACTTCTCCAAATACTAGATATACTGTACCTCCTCAAAAAGTGTCAGCTTCTTTCTTTGAGTATCTGAAATAGTTCTGGCCCAGTATAGGCACCCCCAAACCATAGCTACATGAAAAGCAAAATCAAACAAAGTCATGATGATTACTTTGTAGTGTTATGGTCTTAAAACCTCTTGCAAATGTATTAGTTTACTTTTAACTGCATTTACTAAAGTATCACAAGCTTAATGACCTCAAAAAACACACGTGTATTATTTTTTAAGTTCTGAATGTGAGAAATCCTAAAATCAAGGTGTTTGTTCCTTCTAGAGGGTATAAGAAGAATCTTTGTTCTTGTCCTTTCCGTCTTCTAAACCATACCGAGTTTCCTTGGCTCACACTCCTATCCTTCTTCACCTTTAAGGCCAGCAACATAGCACTTTCAGTCCATCTGACCTACCTTCTACTCCTAAAAACTTTCATTATTTCATTGGGCCTCCCCATGTGACCCAGGAAATACCCTGATTTTGAGATCTTTGGTTACCTCACATCTACAAGCCTTTAGTAATATACAATAACATAGTCACAAGTTCCAAAGATTAGATCCCTTTGGAGGACATAGTTCAGCCTGTCACAGCAAGCAATAAATGTTAACATTATTCCCATACACATCTATTTTACTTCAGTAAAGGAAAATTTGAAGTGTTAAGCAAATTGCCTAAAGTCACATGCTTGGCTATCGCTATAGAACATACTTCATAGTTAGTTTATTCTCTCTATATCAAACACTTGCTTTTTCCATTATTGCCTTCATAATTAACACTAATTGGGTTTGTTTGTTTGTTACATGGCAGAAAGCAACATGAGTTTGATTGTTTAACTCTGCTTGATGCATGAGGCACATATTACTAATTTTTTTGGTTGGTTTTTGGGCTTGACCTCTAGGCCTGGGCACTGTCCCTAAGCTCTTCAGCTCAAAGCCAGCACTCTACCACATGAGCCACAGTGCCACTTCCAGTTTTCCGGTGATTTACTGGAGATAAGAGTCTCATGGACTTTCCTGCCGAGGTTGGCTTCAAATCATGATCTTCAACTCTTAGCCTCTTGAGTAGCTAGGATTACGGGCATGAGCCTGTTCTCCAAGTGTTCACTTGGCTGTTTCTGAAACAACTAAAGAAAAAGTGTACTATACTGCCAGACCATACTTTCTGTTAGTGAAGAAGTAACCCACACCTACCAATACTTTCTACTCTTCTCTAATTGTGCTTAATTTTTAACACAGTAGAACATGTGAACATGGTGGAACTGGGACATTCAGCCCTTTATATAGAGGCATGATGTGAATACCGGCAGCCTTTCGGAGCAGTCTTTGAATGACTCATTGCATCACTTCAGTTAGAGGTAGAAAGAAGGCAGAACATCTAACTGTATGCTTTGTTCTTTGTCCAGTCACAAATGAAGAAGAGAGACCAGGAAGCCATGCAAGCCATGCAAATGGCCCTTTGATGGGTTCATTTATCAAGCCACGTGATACTTAAACTAAACACTTGAACAAACTAAAACAATAAAAATGTACAGCTCGTCTCTTAACCTAGAGAGTGAGTTCTCAGAAGTCTTAAATGGAAGTATCTTATACTAAACAACTATGTGAAGTAAATTTAAATGAGCACATCCCATTACAGTGAAAGACAAATTATATTCATATGATGGAGGCACTTTGCCTCACATTTTCCTCATGTTTTTTTAATGAGTACATTATCACTGCTTGGTCAAATGTATTTACATATCACACAATTTTTCTCTTAGGAAATGATATACCAGTCACTCAGGATTTTATTGAAACAAAGAGAGGCAGAGAAAACTAAAGGGATATTGTCTTTCCTTTTAGTGTTGATTTCAAGATCCCAAGTTTTGAGCCTCACTTTTAATTATATGTACTTTGGTTCCAGTGGCCAAGGATGTCAATATTCTTTTTGATGAATTAGAAGCTGTCAATAGTCCTTGCAAAGATGACGATTCTCTCCTTCACCCTGGGAACCTGACAAGTACTTCAGATGATGCCAGCAGATTAGAAGCTGGGGGAGAGGTAAGAGTGTGTAGTTCTTTTTTTAATCGTAAAGGTGATGTATTGAGGGGTTACAGTTACATACGTAAGGTAATCAGTTCCTTTCTTTTTGAACAGGATTACCCATTCCATCATTTTTTCTCTTTACCCACCCCTTCAAGAATGTATAATTTTTTCACTACCAAATTCATTCTATGAAGCTATAATAACCCTCATCCCAAAACCAGGCAGGGACTCATCAAAGAAAGAGAACTATAGACCCATATCTTTGATGAACATTGATGCAAAACTTCTCAACAAAATTTTGGCCAGTCGGTTTCAACAATTCATCCAAAAAATCATACACCCCAATCAAACAAGATTCATTTCAGGGCTGAAAAGCTGGTTCAATATACGCAAATCAGTTAACGTAATTAATCACATCAACAAGAGCAAGGATAAGAATCATATGGTTATCTCAATAGATGCAGAAAAAGCATTTGACAAGATCCAACACCCCTTTATGATGAAGGTTCTGAAAAACTAGGAATCCATGGAACCTTCCTCAATACAATAAAGGCTGTATATGACAAACCTACAGCCAGCATTATACTCAATGGTGAAAAACTAAAGCCATTTCCTCTAAACTCAGGAACGAGACAAGGATGCCAACTCTCTCCACTGCTCTTCAATCTAGTATTATAATGCCTAGCTACAGCAATAAGACAAGATGCAGACATATAGGGGATTCAAATTAGAGAAAGAAGAAGTAAAACTCTCCCTCTTTGCAGATGACATGATCTTGTATTTAAAGAATCCCATGGACTCCGCTCCCAAATTACTCAAGGAGATTCAAAGTAGCAGGGTATAAAATTAACCCTCAAAAAGCAATGGCTTTTCTGTATGCCAACAATGAGAAAAGTGTGACTGAAGACAGGAAAGTAACTCCACTTGTAATAGCCCCACAAAAAATAAAATACCTAGGAATTAACTTAACCAAAGAAGTGAAGGATCTCTATGAAGAAAACTTTAAAAACCTGAAAAAGGAAATCAAAACAGAACTTAGAAAGTGGCAAAAACTCCCATGCTCCTGGATTGGAAAGATCAACATCATGAAAATGGCAATACTTCCCAAGGCTATCTACAAATTCAATGTGATACCTATTAATATTCCAACCTCATTCTTCAAGGAAATAGAAGAGGCAATCCAAAAATTCATATGGAACAATAAAAGACCCCGAATAGCAAAAATGATCCTCAACAGAAAGAACAGTGCTGGAGGAATATCAATACCAAATTTCAAACTCTACTACAAAGCCATAGTAATCAAAACAGCTTGGTACTGGCACAAGAACAGACCTCAGACCAATGGAATAGAATTGAAAACCCAGAAATGAACCTACAGACCTCTAGCCATCTAATCTTTGATAAGGAGCTAAAAAAAATAGAATGTAAGAAGACAGCCTCTTCAGTAAATGGTGCTGGCAAAATTGGTTAACTACTTGTAGAAAACTAAAGCTAGATCTTTATATATCACCTTGCACCAGAATCAACTCCAAATGGATCAAAGACCTCGGAGTCAAAGCAGACACTCTGAAAACATTACAGGATGGAATAGGAGAAACCCTAGTCTCCTTGGCACAGGCCAAAATTTTCTGAATAGAGACCCGGAAACACAACAAATCAAAGAAAGGTTGGACAAATGGGATTGCATGAAATTGCAGAGCTTCTGCATGGCAAAAGTCTTAGCTAGCAAGATCAATAGAAAGCCCACGGATTGGGAGAAGATCTTCACTAGCCATACAACAGACAAAGGTCTCATATCTAAAATATACCTGGACCTCAAAAAATTAAATCCCCCAAAAACAAATCTTCAGAGAAACAGCTGCCCAATAAATAAGTGGGATAATGACTTAAGGAGAAACTTCCCTGAAGAAGAAAGAAGGATGGCCAATAGACACATGAAGAAATGCTCAACCTCCCTAACCATAAAAGAAATGCAAATCAAAACAGCATTGAGATACCACCTCACCCCAGTTAGAATGGCTATAATCAAGAACTCTAATAACAACAGATGCTGGAGGGGATGTGGACAGAAGGGAACCTTAATGCATTGTTGGTGGGAGTGTAAACTTGTTCAACCACTTTGGAAAGCAGTATGGAGGTTCCTCAAAAGGCTCCACATAGAGCTCCCCTATGACCCAGCAATCCCACTTTTGGGCATTTACCCAAATGATCACAAACAAGACCACACTAAAGCTACCAGCACGACTATGTTTATTGCAGCATTATTTACCATAGCTAAGATATGGAACCAACCCAGATGCCCCTCAGTAGATGAATGGACTAAGAAAATGTGGTATATATACACAATGGAATTCTATACCTCCATCAGAAAGAATGACATTGCCCCATTTGTTAGGAAATGGAAAGACTTTGAAAAATTATATTAAGTGAAGTAAGCCAGGCCCAAAGAAACATAGGTCCCATGGTTTCCCTTATTTGCAATAACTAGTATATGTCTGAGTCAAGCAGAAAAGGTCAGATAAGGTGATGTTAGGGGAATGAACCCCAAGATAAGTTGTTTTTTTTCCTTTCATGCAATTGTTTCTATCATATTTATAAGATGATTTCTATGTTGCTTTGTATGTCCCTTCCCCACAGTGTAACCCATACTTTCACTGTTTTTGATGTTGGTATAATTTGTGGAGGGGAAGGGAAAAAAACAAATTGTTTAACTAGGGATACAGGTGGACTCATTGCAACAATGAGATGTACAAGTCGTTATGTTGAAGAAGGAACTTAACTTTGTTGGGGGTGGGAGGAGGAACGGGTGGGGGGGGAGTATGGGAAGGATTGGGAAGGGGAAACAAGGCAACAATGCTGGATAAGAAATGTACTCGTTATCTTGCCCATGTAATTGTAACTCCTCTGTATAATAAAAAAAAGAATGTATAATTTTTTAAGAAGACAATTCTCGATTCACAAGTTTTTGTGTAGCATGTTCCAATTCACTGTTTAGAGTCATGATCTCATCAAAATGCAGCTTCCTGAAAAACAAGGACATGTTTTATGTTTATTTGATGTTCTGCCATGGGTCTCATATTTCCAGGATCCTAAATCTACTCAAAAGGTTTTTATTTTTCAAAGCATGCATTTACCTTCTTTTTTAAATAAGTTTTTTATTGTGAAAATACTATACAGAGGGGTTACAGTTACATGAGCAAGGTAATGAGTACATTTCTTATCAAGCATTCTTGCCTCCTTTGTTTTACCCCTACCATCTCTTCCCTCCCACCTCCTCAACTACACTCCCCCCTCCTTCTTATACCTAAAAGTACTTTATTTATACAAAGAAAGCTAAATCACATTGTCTAGCATTTTAAAATTTACTCTGGGTGCCACTAACCAGTAAAAAGAGTCTGTGCAAGGGTAGACTTCCTTGAATAAATCCCCCAGCACATAGAATGATGATATATAGCTACCTTATGTAGATGGTGTTATATGAAGTCTCTCTGAATTTTCATGTTCCTCTGGAAACTTAGTTGCAGTTGTAAATAGACCCATTGGTTCATGTGTCATTTTGGAGAAAGAAACCTATTGTTGGGGGCATGCACTGTTGCTCAATGTGTGTCCTGCTGGAGCATAATACATTCTTTCAGCATGTACCAGACAGAGGTGATGTGCACACAGAATCAGAGTAATTTATTTGTCATACATGCTTAATGTCTTTGTCATTTCAAAGCCAAACTCTTGAAAGGAATACACCAGAGGACAGGGATAATGATTAACTCACACTAAGCCTTGTAGATCTCTCCTCACAAATTCTACTACCTTCCATGCCTCTTTTGTGGTTGCCATTTTTTAATTTAAAAACCATTCTATCTCCATCTCCTCACAGGGATACTTTGGATGGTATACTGTGGGATGTTAGAGGGACATTCTGAAAGGGACTTCAGAAAGGAGCTGATTTTATCCCCTGACCTTACTGATGAAGACATAGTCTCAGAAATGTAAGGCTTTTGCTGAAGTTGGCACAGGTCACTGAGCCAACCTTCCTTCTGATGTTGCTTTTAAATTTTACTATTATTTTACTTATTTATTTTGCAATGCTAGAGATTGAACCCAGGGCCCTGTGCATGTTAGGCAAGTGTTGTAACATTGAACAACATTCCCAACCTGAAACCCTGGTTTATTTGTTTGTTTCTTTCTGGTACTAGAGCTTAAACTCTGGGCCTTGAGCTCATTCCGTTGGTACTTTACCACTTGAGCCGTGTCTCTAGCCTGGCTTTGTGCTGGTTAATTAGAGATGGAGTCTTTCAGATATTTTCCTGCCCATTTTTGTTTTGTTTTTTTTTGTTTGTTTGGTTTTTTGTTGGGTCCGGTCATGGGGCCTGAACTCTGGGCCTGGGCGCTGTCTCTCAGCTCTTCAGCTCAAGGCTAGTGCTCTACCACTTGAGCCACAGCGCCACTTCTGGCTTTTTTCTTATTGTTTATGTGGTGCTGAGGAATCGAACCCAGGGCCTCATGCATGCAAGGCAAGCGCTCTACCACTGAGCCATCTTCCAGCCCCTGCTCAGTTTTGTTTTGAACCATAGTCTTCTGGGTCTCAGCCTCGTGGGTAGCTAAGATTACAGTCCTGAGCCATTGCCAGCCTGGCTTGAAGAGTTTTGATGTGCTAAATCCACAGGATGTTTTCTTACTTGGCAAATGATTAATAAAGTATTTATTTGAGTTGACTCTTAGTTCCTTGGAAGGTAAAACCCAAAAGATGGCCAGTGAAGATAGAGGTTACTGTTAATACTTAATGTGTGGACACTTGATGTGTGGGCTAAGACTTTCCTTTTGAATGAATCTGCATACCTGATGCTTACATAAATGTAGTTTGTAACATGCCCTCAAGTGCTGGCATGTTTGCTTTCTTCATATTAACTATTTGGAAATTGATGTATTCTATGGCATAGAGAAGATAGATTCCCCATTTCTGCTTGGATGAGTTTGCAAATACAGTTTTTGTGTGTGTGTACACATGTGTGCGTGCATGCCTGCCAGTCCTCAGCTTGAACTCAAAGCCTAGTCACTGTCCCTGAACTAAAGGCTAATGTTCTACTGCTTGCACTACAGATTATTTTTAGTGGTTAACAAAAGGTAAGAGTCTTAAAGACTTTCCTACTTTTCTACCCAGGCTGTATTCAAACCTTAATCCTCAGATCTCAGGCTGCTGAGAAGCTTCGATTACAGGTGTGAGCCACTGGCACACAGTATAGATACAATTTTGGAATCTATTAGCCCAAGAAACTTGGCTCTCTCCTGACCAGCCTATACTTTTTCAGTTGTATAAGATTACAAGCCTGAAATGTCTGAGTAAAAATTCTACCATCTTCTCCTGTTCTTTACTTTTTAATTATGGCAAAATATTTGTAATGACTGCATAAAATATAAAAGCATAATTGTAAAATGTATAATTATAAAAGCATAATTGTAAAATATTTGTAACGACTGCATAAATTATAAAAGCATAATTGTAAAATGCATCCTTTGAAACAGGGTTCATTTTCCTAACATCACTTTATCTGACCTTTTCTGCTTGACTCATACATATACTAGATATTGCAAATAAGGGAAACCATGGGACCTATGTTTCTTTGGGTTTGGCTTACTTCACTTAATATAATTTTTTCCAAGTCTTTCCATTTCCTAACAAATGGGTCAATATTATTTGTTCTGACGGAGGCATAGAATTCCATTGTGTATATATACCACATTTTTTGATCCATTCATCTACTGAGGGGCAACTGGGTTGGTTCCATATCTTAGCTATAGTAAATAATGCTGCAATAAACATAGTTGTGCTGGTAGCTTTAGTGTGGTCTTTTTTGTAAACATTTGGGTAAATGCCCAAAAGTGGGATTGCTGGGTCATAGGGGAGCTCTATGTGGAGTCTTTTGAGGAACCTCCATACTGCTTTCCAAAGTGGTTGAACAAGTTTACACTCCCACCAACAATGAAGTAAGGTTCCCTTCTGTCCGCATCCCCTCCAGCATCTGTTGTTATTAGAGTTCTTGATTTTTGCCATTAAGAATACATCTTATTAGTGTTTACTGCTATATGATATTCAACTGTATGCTCATGTACAGTTTATTCATTTATTGTCTGTACATAGACATCTTCCATGATTCAAAATTTTAGCACTTCTCTGCTATTATAAAAAATGTTGCTATGAATATTCATATACATGATTCTTAGTTGCTTTACCAAGAATTTCTCTAGGGTTATGCTACCCAAACATTCAGTTTTATAAGACAATACTAGTAGGTTTCCTAGAGTTCATGATTTTTTTTTTCATTTGGTGCTGATTCTAGGGCTTGAATCTAGGCACTGTCTCTGAGCTTCTTTGTTTAAGACTAGCACTCTTGTACTTGAGCCATAGCCCCACTTCCACCTTTTTTGGTAGTTAATTGCAGATAAGAGTCTTCATAGAACTTTCTTGTCCAGGATGGCTTTAAACCACAGTCTTCAGATCTCAAACTCCTGAGTAGTTGGCAAGTTCACAAATTTTAACTCTTACCCCTAAAACATGAGAATTCCTATTTTTTCCTGTGGGGATACTTGAACAAGTTTTTTTGAAGCTTATTCTTCTTAATGGGAAAGACAAACACTTTCCCCAAATTAGTAGATCCCCTGGGATGTGTTCAATGTACAATTTTTTTTTTGGTCAGTCATGGGGCTTGAACTCTTCAGCTCTTTAGCTCAAGGCAAGCACTCTACCACTTGAGCCATAGCACTACTTCCAGTTTTCTGGTGGTTTATTGGAGATAAGAGTCTTATGGACTTTTCCTGCCTGGGCTGGCTTTAAACCATGATCCTCAGATCTCAGCCTCCTGAGTAGCTAGGATTACAGGTATGAGCCACTGGTGCCCAGTTTCATTGTACAAATTTGTTATACTCTTTAAAAATATTTACTAGCATAAATTAATGCCCCACGTCTTTGCCCACACTTGCTAGTTCAGATGTTTTGTATTTTATCCATTTCACCTAATACTTCTCAGTCTTTTGTTTTTTCTTATCTACATTTTTTTGTGAATGGTAATGCAACTTTAACAAAACAGTGAAAGCATCAGTTCATTTGAACATTTCTTTCATATGACTTATCTAAAGCTCAGGTTAATGATTGGCTTAATGAATCCCTGTCTTCTTGTTTGCAGACAGCTCGAGAAAGAAACAAATCAAATGGACTTTACTTTAGAGACGGCAAGTGTCGAATAGACTACATTCTCGTGTACAGAAAATCTAACCCCCAGACTGAAAAGAGAGAAGTATTTGAAAGAAATATTAGAGCAGAAGGATTACAAATGGAGAAAGAGGTAAGTAGTTGACTTGGATAAGAAACCATAGGCATTCATCTGTGCACCTCAAGCATTCATTTAAAACTGGGCTGTTAGACATTGTGTTACCAGAACACATCATTTAGTCAGGGTTTGCCAATCTTCAGTATTGGGGGAAATTCCAGCAATTAGACTTTGGAAGCATAATTTGCCTTGGAGAGCATTTTGATGCCAAATGATTCTATCAAAATATTCTATTCCAATTAAATGGATTGTCTCAAGGGTGATTATTTACGTGACTTCCTACATCTGCTTCTTCTCTATGTGAATGAGAGATTCTGTTCATGTATATTAAAGAAAACATTGGATAAGCTGTAGTGACTCCCTATTGGGAGGTGTCTTGATTCCAGAAAGCATAATGAGCTTGTCATTCTTGTTTATTAAAAGAAACTGGCTGGCTAGTTGAGCCCAAACAGCTAAAACTTACAATGATTCCGGTTGTTTTTGTTTGTTTGTGTAAACTTTGTTTTATTTTTATTTCTTTGGTGCTTAACCTCAGAGCCTGGGCTCTATCCCTGAGCTTTTGTGCTTAAGATTAGTGTTTTACCACTTGAGCCACAGCTCCACTTCCAGCTTTTTGGTGGTTTATTGGAGATAAGAGTCTCATGGACTTTCCTGCCCAGGCTGGCTTCAAATTACAAGCCTGAGATCTCAGCTGAGATTATAGGTGTGAGCCACTTGCACCTAGCTATTGGTTCTGGTTTTCAGAGACATTTAGATTGTATCAGCTTCCTAGCTCAATTTACTTTACCAGGGATTTGCTTTCTTTCTCTTCCATGTCTTCACTGCATAAGGAAGGTTATTTGTTATTTTGGAATTCTAGTCCTTGCACTTGCTAGAAGATGCTCTAACCATGGAGCCACATCTCCAGCCCTACTTGGTTCTGGTAATTTTTGATAGAAGATCTCATTTCCTGCTAGGCATGCCTAGACCTGACCCACCGATATGTTATGCTTCCTGTGCAGCCTGCATAACAGGTGCACACCACCACATCCAGATTTTCATTGAGAAAGATATTATGAACTTCTCTGCCTAAGCCTTGAACTTGGATCCTAGCAATCTCAACTTCCCAAATAGCTAGGAATACATGTGTGAGCTACTCACGCCTAAGTTTTACTTATAATGCATATATTAATTGTACAGAAAATTGATTTCATGATGTTATTTCCATATGTGGAAATAACTTTGTTCACATAGCTCTTATCTCCCTCTCCTCCTATTTATCTCTGTCCTCTTTCCAAATTGTTCTCCTATTGTATATGTGATAAAACATCTTTTAAAATATATATAAATACATATGTCCACTGTATATGAGAGAAAATAAGATTTTTTTCTGAGAGTCTTCCAGAATTTGATGTTCTCTGGTTCCATCCATTTTTCTCCCCCTGGCAAATGACACAATTTTGTTCCTCAGTTCCACCATGTAAATAGACCACATTCTCTCTAGCTGCATGGAGAGTCCTAAGGAAAAACTAAGTAAATACAAGGCTCAACCAGGCCTTGGATAGGAATCTAAAATGGGTTTATTGTCTACTTAGAGAAAATGGGAGTTTGTGGAAGTCGATGCTGTGAAGTAAATGGTGTAATTCTTGGCAGATCTGTTCTAAACTTGGCAAAGCTTCAGGAGTTTTTCACAATCAATAAGAAAAGCATATTGGCAGTACAGATGTTTGCTTCTGCTCCTCAATGAAGAGGGATAGACCTTTGAAGTCAGACAGGCAACATCTTGTTTGGACAATGCAGATGAGCAGTTCATGTATTGCATGCAAGTTATATCAAGGCATGAAATACTAGAGGAATTTTTATGTTCACACTTATTTAATTCAGATAAATGGAATATTTCCAGACATTGTAACCTTGATGATACAGAAGCAGTGTTCTTCTGGAATGACTCCAGCAGAATTGGAAAGTGGCTAGATACTCGTTACCTTACGTGAACAACTTCTCATTTCAGCAGAATGTAGTCTGCTTGCTCAAAAGACTTTCAGTGTGAATTATCCTGGAGAAAAAAAATTTAAAAATTGAATGTCTTTTTCTACTTTCGGGGGATCCTAGAAACTCTTTTCTTATGCCTTATTAACAGAGCTTTGATACATCTTAGTCTTTAAGTTTGTATTGAGGCATTGTGTACTGTCTTTTCTACTTCTCCTCCTCCTCCTCCTCTTCTTCTGCCTCTTTTTATGGTGGCACTGACATTTGAAATCAAAGCCTTGAATTTATGATGCAAGTAATTGAGCCATGACTCCAGTCCTTTTTACTTTTTGTTATTATTATTTTAATGTAGACTCTTGCTTTTGGTTTAGGCCAATGTTAGACTACAATGCTCCTATGTATGCCCAACTCACGCCTGGATTTATAAACATGTGCTATCATTCCTGGCTTATTTTTTTGAGCTGGGATTCACTATCTTTTTGTCCTGTCTGGCCTCAAACCATCAGCTTCCCAATCTTCATGTAACTGGGATTATAGGTATAAACTACCTACCTACCTACTATCTTCATACTAATAGCACATTAATATGCATATCCCTTACAACTGTTTCTTTGTCCTTTATTCCTTCTCCTAAGTGGCAGAAATTTTATATGAAGAAATGAAAGCTCAGAGCAGCCATGTGATTGAAATAATGAAAGTCTATTCTGGGAGTTAGAGGCAGTTGGTAGAGTACTAGGCAATGAGTGAACATATCAGGTACTGAGTTGAAGTCACAATGGCAGACCAAAAAGAGAAAAAGAAAAAGAAAAGGAAAAAAAAGTTTATTCTGATTTGTCAGAATTGAGCTTCCCATCAAAATAGATGAATTGTCCAATTAATGAAAGATTTTTAAGCTTCCAAACTCTGTTTTCCTTTTCTAGGGTTTCCTCTATTTAAATCTCTTCAAATTCATTCCTTGCATTACTCATTCAAATTATTTTTCCAAATAATACACATTACTAAAAAGCATCCAGACCTTCTATTGTGAATCCTAAACTATCATCTGAACTGCATGATCAGGCTACTAGAAGCCCAACAGGTGGTAAAGTCCTTGCCCCACCATCATACCACACATGACAGCGTGGACCATTGTGTGATAAGGGACTGCTTGGATAATTCAGGTTGCATATTGGATTATTGTATTTATTATAATTTTTTTAAATTAGTAGGTATTGAGTTTAATATGTATTAGAAAAAAATAGTAATTGGAAAAATAGCAATGTTACCACATAGCAATACCTCAAAAATGAGCCAGTGACTCATGCCTTTAATAATAGCTACTGAAGAGGCTGAGATATGAGGATGGTGGTTCAAAGCCAACCCAGGCTGAAAAGCCTGTGGGACTCTTATATCTAGTTAACCACCCAAAAGCTGGATATGGAGGTGTGACTCAAGTGGTAGAGCACTAGGCTTGAGTGAAAAAGCTCAGGGACAGCGTCCAGGCACTGAGTTCAAACACACAAACCAGTACTTTCATAACTATTTCTGTCTTTCCAACTAATCTCTTCTTTGAGCATCAAGTTTTGTATGGCTCCTTTACCCTCTCACACAGTCACCTGTACAAGATCCACATGTGTTTTTATCTGCTGGAACCTTTTTCCGCCAAGTGGCCTCTCATGTAGCGTGGCTCCCACCTTACCTTCGTGCCCACAGCCTACAAATCAACAAGGCATGGCACAATCTGTCTCCCAGCTTGGCTTGCTAGCTTGGCCATCTCAGTAGGAAGAAGCCTTTTGTAATTTCTGCAGCTTAGGAAGCAACAGGAAATAACAGATAAGTAAATTTTCTCTGCCTCAAAGACTTAACATAAATTGTCACTTTGTAGATCAACAACAACAACAAATCTGTATTTATGCTATGTTATTAGATTTGGAAACCATTAGAAGCACTCTTATTTAAATCAAGTTGTTTATATAAACAGCTGCAGGAGAATGGCCACAGATTTAGTGGCTATCTCTGCTTCCAGAAGTTTCTTTAACATTATTTTATAGGCTGTAAAACAAAGAACTTGGTTCTAGGAAGAAAGGGGGAGGGAAAAACAAGACAACCCCAGAAATCTATTTGGACTGATTGGCACTAAGAGTATTTTATGAATTATTGGTAGCTTCATTAGCTATGTGTCACAATTACAGAAAATACGTTCCACAAACAGGTTGCATTTCCAAATGGATAAAGATAGGCTCCATAGTTCTCTTGAAGGCCAGAAAGTCCTTGTCTCTTTTAACACTGCATTTCAAGACACACAATTAAGAGAACTTTTATTCATTAAGAGAATCTTTTATTCATGATAAAGCTGAGGGCATTGTCCAATTTAATCTTTCTGGAAACCTTTGGCCCAGCTTCATTAGTCAGCAAGGGTATGCTTTGCAACTTAATATTCTCTAAGTCAGGTTTGATATTAGCCCAGGGAAAGCAATTCACAGCAAAGTTTTCAAATAAAATATCATTAAGTCCAAATGACTTTCTCCTTTGTTTATTGAAATTATTTAAAATAATTCCTTCCTTTATATTTTTCAGCGATTTACTAGCACTTTTTATTTTCATTTTTTTCATCTACATGTTGTACAAGGGAGATTTCATTGTGATGTTGCCCCACATGTAAACAATATATCCCATTCAACTCTTACCTCCTCTATATTCTCCTTTATCCCACTCATCCTTAAATCAATTTCAATAGGCTGTATTGTTCTGTTGTCATAATACAAATAAACTACATAGACCATATTCATCCTCATTCACATTCAATAGCTTTACTCCACCCTATGGTATCTACTTGCTATCAAGCCCTGTTTTGCTTTCTTGTCATTCATTAGTGTGTGTGTGTGTGTGTGTGTGTGTGTGTGTGTGTGTGTGTACGCTGGTCTTGGGACTTGAACTCAGGGCCTGAGTACTGTCTTTGAGCTTCTTTTGCTCAAGGCGAGCTCTCTGTCACTTGAGCCAGAGTTCTAATTCTGGCTTGGGAAGTAATTTATTGGAGATAAGAGCTTCACAGGCTTTCCTGGCCAGAC